CTCTCTCTCTCTCTCTCTCTCTCTCTCTCTCTCTCTCTCTCTCTCTCTCTCACACACACACACACACACACACACACACACACTAGCAATATCAGAAATGAGCTTCAAAATAGACTAAAGGGGTGCTTTAACAGAATGGGGGTCGGATTTTAAATTAAGAAAATGGATGCCCCGACACAGGTCTGCGGTCGCATATGCGACCGCTTAATGGTTATGCGGTTCGCAAAGTGACCGAAGAAATGGCCCTCAGGGGCCTGAACTTTCGGCTCAGGTATGCGACCAGTATGCGGTCCGCATACTCGTTCTGCGGTCGCATAATGCACCGTAGAACTCCCTCCGCAAAAACCCAAGAGGGATTATACGACCGATATGCGGTCGCATAATCGACCACAAAATGGACCTCAAGTTGGCCAAACTTACTGCTTCACTCTGCGGCCATTATGCGGCCCGCAGAGTGATTATGCGGCCGCATAATGGGCCGCATAAACGTGCTTTTCCGCCAAAAAATGTCTTTTACTTTTCGGTGCACGTAAGCCTACTCCGGCACCACGAAACCTTGAATTCACTTGCGAAATTTACGGGGCTTTAAACTGAAATACTTCAAAATTTTTATGGGGTGTTATATTCTCCCCTGCTTAGGATCATTCGTCCTCGAATAAGGGTCAAAATCCGTTATTAGCATTCAATGTGGTTCAAATGTTGGTTCACACACACCAGTAGTTTTACAATTTGGCTAACTCCCTAAATTTCCAAAAATTTCACCAGAGTCTCCCCTGTAACTGGGCCTATCCACCTGCCAGAGTAACACCAAAACAATTCCTAACAACACATCCGCAACTTGACAAAACATCACCATGTATAACAACGTCACTAATCTCATACTTACAGGCATTATAGTATCAAGAGTGGTATCTGGACATGAGCTGCACATATTTAAATCATAACACACAGAAGTACCTTTCAAATCACAATCATTTAACTATACACTCAAGTGGGAACATTTTATTTCCTTAACACTTTTTTCCTTCCATGTGGTCTCCTCAACTTACAGACTTCTCCATAACACGTTAACGGAGACAATCTCAACTCCCGGACTTTTCTAACAAGGATAGCAAATAGTTGCTCCTCACAATCCCATTATCCCTTATCTTCACCTTATTAGACATAGACACATGAACCCGGCCGAGCAAGCCTATTAGACTTCCTTCTACCCAAACTCATTCATGAATAAAGAGGAGATGTACTCCATTAATCAATCACTGAAAAGTTTTTTATTAACAACCTTTTTATTCCCATTAGTAGATTCATTCATAATTTCCAAAACATTACGAGTTTATAGAATTAATGAAAAACATATTTTCGACGTCGTTCTTGGAGCTCAGGCCATCCATATGAAAACTTACATACAACAACATATTGTAAGCCTTCTATTACATTCATACGTTCCACCTCCGCTTCTGAAAACTTCACCAATGGTTGCCCATTCACAACTGTTGCTCGTCGAAGGGGAATTGGTTCAACAGTAGCGGCTCGTTCATGCATGGTAGTGTTCGACGTACTAGGTTTCAGAATTTTTGAGTAGTCTAATGGTTGTGGATTGGTATTTGATGCAGTTGGGGTTGGTGCGAGGGTGGAGGAGGGCTGACCGGCCGTCGATGGCTGGTCGCCGGCCAAATTGGCCATGGCAGCAATCAACATGAATATCGCCGCTAGGGTTTAGGGTTTTTGCTAGAGACATTTTTCCCCTTTGCTAACTTCCATAACTATGTTATGTGAACGTGTACATAGTCATAAAAATTAATTTGTTTGAAACGCGCCTAAAAGTGCACTAGCGTTTTGATTTGTTTTCCTAAATTTGAGGTTATTGTGAGGCCAGGAATTTATGAAATTATTTTGTGAAAGAAGTGTATTATTCGAAATTTGAGGTTACTGGATCGGGGATCTTTACACATATAGCCGGCCATATTTACTGTTTACTTTTATCTAGTCATATACATAGATTATACAATGTTTATACATAATTATACATATATAAGACATAAATTATGCATTTATTATACCTCCACCAGTTATTTTTAGTTTAAGTGGTTGGGTGGACTGCTACTTGGGTTAATTCTTCATTGGATCGCCACCTCGACTGGGCTCAAAGTGGGAGCCCAATAGCGTTGGGCATGGCACTATCAATGGCTGGCCTTTTACCCTGGCGGCAGGTCTCATTTGGACCTTTGAAATATATTGTGCTAGAAACGAAAGTAGAAGTTCGAAGCCCAATTGGCCCCAAACCTATAGACCTATGCATAAACCACTTGCCGCCGGGCAATAGGTCCAATTCGGCCAGAATATTGTTAACAATCAACATTGCAGAATAAACCAATAAACAATTGATCGAACAAACTATCACAAATCTCATACAAAAGGAATACATTTGCAGATATAATAACTAATTTATCATATTACAATCAAACGAAGCTAGTCTATTACAGCAGTAGCCCTTCTTGTTAGCAACTTCTAACTTGCAGTGGCCAACCACTTCTATTCTTCATGAGATAACCATCCTCTAGCCTTGTTCAAATGTCAAGTTTGAAAAAATAGCCATGAGACAACCCTTGCAAACTTGAGTATTTCAAGATTGAAACCTAGGCTCTAATCAACTACTAAAAACACACAGGCCGACAAAAGTAGGAAATTCAAAGGTGTTTATTTAAGGGAAATGATCAAAATTAGAACACGAATGCTTGGATCTGACCAACTGGCGGCCAGATCCTCAAGCTGCAACTAATGAGGTTGTATTCGAGTGTTTCTTAAAAATTGCACGGGGCGTCCTATTTGATCGTTGCCATTTAACCTGTAATTACTTTTTAATTTTTTTTAACTAGCACCCAAAGTTTAAACAACTCCTCCTTCTCATCCTTCTCCTTCTCCTTCTTCTTCGGGTTACAGTGATTTTATATGGTGTTTGTGAATATATTTTAAGGGAGTTTATGATGTTTTATAATAGTGAGCTGCTGCGACGCTTTATTTTTTACTATTGTCTTAGGATTTTTTCTTCTTTTTCTTAATTGCAAAATGAGTTCATTAGATTTATTATTATTTTGATAAATTGATGATTGTGGTTTGTTCTTGATGATATATGGAAGTTATGTTTCAAATTTGAGATCATTTGGAGTAGATTTAGGTGCTAAATCGTATATTGGATTGTTAAAATTCGAAGAACAAATTTCTATTTCTCGGCAATTTGCACTTCAGACCTATTTGGCTTTAAGTGCATAAAAATGTTGGTTGCACTTCAGACTTATTTGGTCTTAAGTGCATGTGAAATGCAATTTTTTCACTTCAGATTTTTCGGCCTTAAGTGCATGAAACCATTGGTGGCACTTCAGACCAATTTAGCCTTAAGTGCATCTGAAGTGCAATTTTTCACTTCAGACCTCTATGACCTTAAGTTCATAAATTTTTTTTATTGCACTTTGGACTTATTTGGCCTTAAGTGTAATTTTTGCACTTTAGACTTAATTGGCCTTTAAGTGCATTGCACTTCAGACTAATTTTTTTTAACTTCATACCCGATAAGTCTGAAGTTGATCGTAAAGTGGATAGACTTGCAATTTATTTTGCAAAGTGGGTATAGCTTCAATTGTGATCCCAAAACCGGGTATAGATGCAAAAGCCACGGGTGTTTCACTACTTAAAACAAGCAGTAATACAATAGTATAACCTGAGAACTGAGTCACTACATCATCCAACCACAAACTAGTCAAATATCACTTTATTTATCAATCACAACATGGCTAACTAATTAACAAACACATTTCAAAATTATGGATATAACTAATACTGATAATTTCACACAACTATATTTATAGGTACTCTAAAAAATTACATGGTAATGCAAATAGTACATTGAATGCAGATTTTATAGCAGAACAATAATCGAATAAGAAAGCAAAGAAATGAAGCTCAACAACTTAAGCAACAACAGCAATCTCCAACTCGAAATACCCAGAAATCAATAATTTTTTCCAGAATAATCAGTAAAATCATCGACTCATACTCGAACAATCACCATCTATCACTAGCTTTTCTTGGAATTTCAGAAATCTTCAGGAAAGAAATGTGTTTAGCTTAATGATTTCTATAACTCTTTCTCTGAGAAAAAAAGAGTATTTTTATCGTCTCTAAAATCTCTCCAAGTTAACCTTTAAACTGCCTCGTAAAAAGGAAATGCAGACTTTATATGAGGGGAGATCGTCGGTCGGTACGGTACAATATTTAGACATTTCGGTTCGGTATTTTCGGTGTTCAGTTTCTTAAAATGTTATATCAATAACATACCTAATTAAATTCGGTATGATTCGGTTTTCTCCGTTCGGTTTCGGTTTATTCGATTCGGTAACTTCGATTTATTCGGTTTGAATTCTAGCTAGTGCATAAAGTCATAGACTGTAATATTCGTAATTAAGGTACTCAAAAGTACAAAACTAAAAACGTTTGTTGACAAAAGTTTTGTCCAAAATTAGTAAATATCAACCCAGAGAGAGAAAACTATACATAAAGGAATAAATTTGATCATTAGAAATGTCTTGTTGAGCAGGACCAAGATAGAATACATGGAATATAAGTTCAGTAGCGAGACTCAAGGGGGGAAGGGGAGGTGAGGCTGGACTCGCAGGTCATCCCTAGGAGAGGGAATTTTAAGTACCTTGGGTCTATTATTCAGGGGATGGGGAGATTGATGAAGATGTCACACATCGTATTGGGGCAGGATGGATGAAATGGAGACTCGCTTCTGGTGTTTTATGTGACAAGAAGGTGCCACCGAAACTTAAGGGTAAGTTCTACAGAGTGATGGTCAAACCAACGTTGTTGTATGGGGCTGAGTGTTGGCCAGTCAAGATCGCTCATGTCCAGAAGATGAAGGTAGCAGAGATGATGGTGTTGAGATGGATGTGCGGGCACACCAGGTTAGATAGGATCAGAAATGAGGTTATTCGCGACAAGGTAGGTGTGACTCCTATTGAGGACAAGATGCGGGAAGCGCGGTTTAGGTAGTTTGGTAATGTGAGGAGGAGGAGCACAGACGCCCCGGTGAGGAGGTATAAGAGGTTGACATTGGAGGGCCTACGGAGAGGTAGAGGTAGGCCAAAGAAAAGGTGGGGAGAGGTGATTAGGCAAGACATGCCGCAACTTCAGCTGACCAAGGACATGGCCCTTGATAGGAATGTATGGAGGTCGAGGATTAGGGTAGTGGATTATGTAGTGTAGAGTGTTTATAATAGTAGTATTGACACACAGTCTCGCTTTCTGTGGGCAGTAGGTTTTTATGACTAACCGTTGTTTTCTTTCATTGTGGATTACCTTATTACCTTGTTATTTTTATTCTGCTTTTATATGCCTTTTTGGCACTGTCCCTTCTTGTCTATATTTTCATTAATGTGGTGCTTATGCTTTCCTGAGCCGAGGGTCTATTGAAAATAGCCTCTCTATCCTCACAAGGTAGGGGTAAAGTCTGCGCACACACTACCCTCCCCAGACCCCACGGCGTGGGATAAGACTGGGTATGTTGTTGTTGTTGTATTAGAAATGTCTTGTTACTTAGAGTTAATTGATGAACTTAGAGAATAAAAGAAAATAATATTTTATATTTTTTTTATGTTTATGTTATAATTAATAATATGTGTATTATGTAATATAATATATATTTCGGTACGGTATCGGTATTTCGATATTTCATTATAAAATACCGAATACCATACCTAATACCAATTGTTTTTAAAACTTAAACCAAATACCATACCGAATACCAAAATATCGAATACCAAATACCAAAATTTACGGTTTCGGTATGGTAATTCGGTATTTACCAAATTATCCACGGCCCTACTACTTTCCCCTTTTTACCCCTCTACCAACAGATCCTATGCCTTTAACCAATGACAATAACTCTACCCTCTCTTAGCACCTTCTTAGTAGTTACTCAATAGCAACAACAACAACAACAACCCAGTAAAATCCCACAAGTGAGAGGCATGAGGAGGGTAGTGTGTACGCAGACCTTACCACTACCCCGATAGAGTAGAGAGGCTGTTTCCGATAGACCCTCGGCTCAAGAAAATGAACAAGACAAAAAGAGATAATATATCAGTACCATCAACAGAAACCATAAAAATAATAACAGCATCATAAGAACCAGAAAATAGATGAAACGCAATAATAATAACCAGTAAATAAGACCCGGTGCTATGAAAAATGGACGAATAGAGTGAACACAACATTAACCTCTAGCAGTTTAAGACAAACCCTATCAGACTAACCACACCCGGTACGAAGAAGAAAAATGCTCAACTACCTCCTAACCTACAATCCTAATGTTCGACCTCCACACCATCCTATCAAGGGCCATGTCCTCGGAAATTTGAAGTCGCGCCATATCCTGCCTGATCACCTCCCTTTACCTCTTGTCCTACCCGCCAAAGCCAACCGCTCGCACTTTCTTACCGGATATTAGGGCTTCTCCTCCGCATATGCCCGAACTATCTGAGCCTCCCTTCCCGCATCTTGTCATCTATAGGAGCCACACCCACCTTCTTCCGAATATATTTATTCCTAATCTTATCCATCCTAGTGTGCCCGCACATCCACCTAAACATCCTTATTTCTGCTACTATCATCTTCTATATATGTGAGTTCTTGACCGGCCAACACACTACCCCATACAACATGGCCGGTCTAACCATCGCTCTATAAAACTTACCTTTGAGTATCAATGGCACTTTCTTATTACATAGGACTCCAGATGCTAACCTCCATTTTCTCCATCCCACTCCTATACGGTGTGTGATATCCTCGTCGATCTCCCCGTCCTCCTGGATAACCGACCCAAGGTACTTGAAACTGCCTCTCTTGGAGATGACCTGTGATCCAAGCCTCATGTCCATGCCCGCTTCCATCGACTCGGCACTGAACTTGTACTTCATGTATTTTGTCTTATTCCTGCTCAACTTGAAACCCTTAGACTCAAGGGCCTGTCTCCAAACCTCCAGACTCTCGTTAATACCACCTCATGTCTCATCAATCAGAACTATGTCATGAGCGAATAATATACACCATGGCACTTTCCTTTGAATATGTCGTGTCAGTGCGTCCATCTCCAGGGCAAATAAGAACGGGATGAGCGCAGATCCTTGATGTAACCCCATAACAACCGGGAAATGCTCCGAGTCGCCTCCCACTGTCCTAACCCGAGTCTTAGCTCCGTCATTCATGTCATTGATCGCTCCAATGCAAGCAACTTACACATATTTTGTCTCCAGGCATCTCCAGAGAACCTCCCTAGGGACGTTGTCATACGCTTTTTTCAGGTCAATAAACACCACATGCAGATCCTTCTTCCTATCCCTATATTGGTCCACCAACCTCCTAATAAGGTGGATAGCTTCCGTAGTAGAATGACCCGACATGAATTTGAACTGGTTGTCGGATATAGACGTCGTCCTCCTCACCCTCACTTCCATCACTTTCTTCCAAACTTTCATGGTATGACTTAGTAACTTGATACCCCTATAGTTGTTACAACTCTGGATATCACCTTTGTTCTTGTACAACGGTACCACCGTGCTCCACCTCCACTCATACGACATCCTCTTTGTCTTGAAAATAACATTAAAAAGCCCAGTTAGCCACTCCAAGCCTGTTTTACACACACACCTCTAAAATTCTACTAGAATATTGTCTAGCCCTGTTGCTCTGCTCTTACTCATCTTACGCATAGCCCCCACGACTTCCTCAACCTTAATTCGCCTACAACACCTAAAGTCTCGATCCCTCTCCGGGTGCCCCAACTAACCTAGCATAATATCTCAGTCCCCCTCTTCATTCAGAAGTCTATGAAAGTAAGTTTGCCATCTCCGCTTAATTTTAGCCTCCCTTATCAATACTCTATCGTCCTCGTCTTTGATGCACCTCACTTGATCTAGGTCCCGAGCCTTATTCTCTCTCGCCTTAGCCAGCCGAAATAACTTCTTATCCCCGCCTTTATCCCCTAGTTCCTCGTACAGATGACCAAACGCTACAGTCTTAGCCTCCGTGACCACCAACTTTACCTCTTTCCTCGCTACCTTATACCTTTCTTTGTTCGCTCTCCTTTTCGAAGAGGGATGAGCATTTGGTTACTTTCCAAATTAAGGTGGCGAAGACGAAGATTGATTATCTCCTCCTTAAGAGATGCGATAGAGGGTTGTGCAAGGATCGCAAGGTTATTCTGGGTGAGACACTCGCAACGCAGCATGGGCTCTTGGTGATGGAAAGTAACCAAATGATCCTCCCTCTGTCGCATCTCTTTAGTAGTTACTCAATGATTCTTTTAATGACCTTCCTCTACTACCCTTAATATCCCCCAGCCTCATCTTTTTAACTAGATCCAACTCATCATTCTTGATGTTTCCTATTTAATAATCCCCTGGTAATCCTCTTAAGACACCTGAATTCTATCCTCCAGCTGATAGTCTTATCTCTCTTGAGACTTGACTGAGCTGAAAAAGATTTTAAGTGTTGGGCTCTGACTGACCGACCTCTTGAAGGTCCAATACAATTTACAGCATGTCCATGGCCAATGCAATCCCATATACTTTCAATTACTCAGACCAAAGTCCAAACAACTCTCAACTAATAAACCTAAACTAATATACCTAAACAAATTATATGCTATCTTACTAACTAACCAGGTAATTAGCAATTTTAAAAGAAATCAATGCTAAGACACCAATTAATCATGTTTTAATTAAAAACAAACATGTAGCAATCCAGATGAGCTAATTAAGCGCATGCAATCAAGTAACTGGGACAACTAAACATTCTTCAAAATCAAAACCATAATTAATATGAGCAGACACTATGCCATTTGAACAAAAGAAATTACTCTGAGATTCAACTAATGAAAGGATGAGAGAAATAAAAGGAAGGAATAGTCGAAGTTTACCTCATAGAGCCTCATCAGAATAAGTGAGTTTCGGCAAGCAGAAGTCACCTTCACATGAGCACCGAATTGGATTTTGCAATCCAGTCAGTGCTACATGTGAAAATGGCCACTGAAAGACCGAAATAAGAGGAGAAGGGAAGGTTCAAGGTATGTATGCCGGTCAACGGCGAGTTGAATGGCACCAGAGGTCATCGAATCGACTAGAGACTAACTCCAACGGATAGATCTTGGAAGGATCTATTGAATAGTGCAATTCTCAAAGTCAGACGGGCCTTGGTTTTGCCAGAATCGGAAAGGGGGCAAGGAGGTTAGGGTTTATGATTTTGAGGCTCGGTTCATCGATTTTGGCTGTGTTTTAGAAGAAATCAGTGAAAATTCGGAGGAGAGGGGCATGAGGTGAAGCAATGGTGTAATTTTGGGGTGGTTTGGAGGTTTTTGGGTAGTGGAAGAAAGTGGCGCCACCGGTAGAGGGCAGAGGAAATGATTTACAGCCGTCTTGAATTCCAAAATATGGCGGGGGG